CGGTTGGACTTGATGATCTTAGAGGTCTTTTCCAACCTCAATGATTCTATGATTCTATGAAACCAGAATACAAAGTAATGGATAATCTCCATAGTCGGGGAGTTCACTGCAAGATCAGGAACGAGTCTTTCCCCCCTCAGGTTTGCAGAATTACACTTGTAGTAAACAACTATTTCTTTGAATACAAAGTAATGGATTATCTCCATAGTGGGGGAGTTCACTGCAAGATCAGGAACGAGTCTTTCCCCCCTCAGGTTTGCAGAATTACACTTGTAGTAAACAACTATTTCTTTCACAGTCACTTGCCTCTATGTTACACTAAATTCAGGAAGACCAATTAATACCGATTGCTAAAGGGCATTCCAGATGTAAATGAAGTGAATAATTGAGTACTGGGTGGATTTAAAGGTTGAAATCCATTCTCTTGAAACATACTACAAGTTCCTGGCATCATACCTGTCTTTCGACCTCCTTACCAACTGCTATTTGCAATAGCTGGGGAATGAGGAAGAATATTCTGTGGTTTTTCTCCTCCTGTTATAGCCTGAGAAATCTGTGCAAGAAGAGGAAGCTTCAAACTGACAAAGCACAAGGTGCTACAAAATGTACTGATATATCAGGCACGAATGCTATTGACTTTTTCGACTATTACTCATCTTCAGAAACTGGAAAGGAGGCAGAACAGAGAATGAAATACAAAAATCAAATGCAAATAAACCAAATGCTTATGCCATGCAGCTGTGAGAAGAATCAGTTTCTTAACTCTAATACAAACAATACCTAAACTATTTTACAACTCTTGGGAAGCTCCTCAACCATTTCTTTGCCACACAAAAGCAAACAGAGAGAAGCTAACATAATAAATAAAAAATACGTTTTCCAACAGCTAAGCTATTGTAATCCTTCTCTGAACTCTAGAAATTGTACATAATTTTTGGAGCCAAACTTGCATGGATTTTAATAACATTTTTCTGGAAGACAAATGGTCTATCTCTGTCACCCTCTAAAAATAAAATGAAGTATTTCTCATTTATTTGTACATACACATTCAGAAGATGAAGATTATTAGAAGAGGCGGTATTTTGTTAGATTGATACAGCTTAGGAAATGGACAAGTTTTGGGCACACAAACTGTTTTTTGTATCTGACAATAAAACTGCAATCTACAAGCCCCACTGCTTTGAATTTGAGTAGACATGTATTATTCAGTTGGGCTACCTAAAAGAGGCTGTGGCTACCTCTAGAACGGAGGAGTTAAGCACATTCACAAGAGGACAGGTATGACAGCTCTCTCTCATGGAGAGCTGTGATTTGTCACCTGTGCAACATGGAGAGTCGACCAAGAGAACAGACCACTTATGGTGTGTGACAAAACCTAATGTGTTTATTCAACCCATGATTTTCTGTATTAACTTTTGTTTTGAATTTTACTTTCCAAAATGTCTTCTGAAAGAACATTTGTAGAGCTCTCTTGAGGATAAGGGCTGAGGGGTCAGAGACCGTGTAATAGAAGAGAAAAAATACTCTACCACTGGCACAACATGCCACAGTTTCATTGCAGATTGCTTCACACTTCCCACTCAGAACTATAGTTTAAGTTGTTTGTTGTTGTAACTTTGCATTTAACTGTTCAGACTCTTGTTTTCTACATCACATCTCTGCTCCAGGCAAAATTATTTTTAAAAACTTCAGGGGAATGAGTTCAATTTAGCTCTCAGGAGCAGCTGAAGGAAAAAATATGGTATTTATGCCCTGTTAAAAAAAAAAAAAAAAATCAGGTTGTTACTGAGAAATTTATGTACCACAGACTTTGGGACAAGAAGTTGAGGCCACTACCACACAGATTTTCTAATAGCATCCTACATTTAAGAACAACAAACAAAATTCCTGTCAGAGCGCCTTAAAACCACTGTGCAGGACATCTTTTTTGCTGACAGTACAGGGCTGTTTGAGAGATCCAGAAACATATGCCAAGTGTTTCATTTTTTCTTTCATTCTCTCTAGTGTTTTCTGTTCCACACTTTCAGTGGAATAGATCTATACAGTTATCCCCTTGGGTATTTAGCAAGTGAAGCTAGATGTGTGAAAGCACCTTCATGCAAGTTTTAAAAGAAACTTGGAGCCACAAGCACGTTTTGAAAAGTCTGACAGACCCATTCAACAGGTAGAAGCCTTGGGCAGGATTCTGCTCCTAAACTTAGGTGTCTGTATGTAGATGTCTACTTCAGAAAACTGGGCAAGCTCTGATGCTCAAAATTAAATAGATAACAACTAGCTGAAATCAGTGCTCTCCATGTTCTACTCATGGTAATATCTAGATCTCCATTGACTATAGACACATAATTCACAGGGTAGATACCCAAATTTAGTCTTAGTCTCTCCATCACAACTTCCTGGATAAGTTTTATTTCTCACTTTATAGAAACTTTTAGCTTTAGATATCTAACACTGAGAAATAATGTATTACATCCACAGATAAAATATTCTCTCAATCTTAGAAGTTACTATAGAAAATGTGTGCTTGCAGTTGCAAGGTGTAAGAGTCCCAGAAAGATGATGTGGATCACTGGCTACAGTTTCCAGTCACCCTTTGAAGCTAGTTGACAACATTCTCTGCATTTTTTAAGAAGTACACCCTCAAAGTATTGTGAAAGCAGAAGAACAAATAATACCATATATGTTACACTTTCACAGACAAGCGATTGGAAAGCATTAGGGATATTTGAGTGCTGTTAAACACAGTCTGCAGATCCATTTTAGAAATTTATGTGATGCATTTGGCATCATAGACTCTCCGTAATCTAAACTTCCAATTTGAAAAAGTTTTAACCCTCCTGTAAGTTTTATCCTTAAAGGCAGTTTTCTAACTAAATATGAACTGAATTTGTATTCCTAGAACTGCAGACATGCTTAACCTCTCCCCTGCTCCCTCTTGCCTAAACTCTGTGAGTTCCCATCCAGTTAGAAAATGACTTCCTGAGGCACCTTTTCCCTTTACAAAGTCGTAGAACAGTTTAGAAAAGAGGAGGAAAATATTCTAGATTGCTAATACTTAAAAGCTCCAAAGGCATCTGAATAACACCTGTTTTGTCTGTTTGACAAAAAGCCTCTAACCAAAATAAAACCCTTCTATGCAAAATTTAAGAATTCAGTATCGTTATGACCTCATCAGTCTTTACACAAAACTAACGACAAACAGCTTAAACAGGGGTGACCTTTGTAACTGAGGGATAAGAACCTGCTTAACTGTTACCCTCACCCATCCATCAATTCTACTCACATCCATACATTGATATACTATAACCTGCAGGCTTGTACTACACACAATTGCAAGAATCCCTCTAGAAACAGAATCCATAACAGGGCTGTTTTGACACACTCCTGAAAAGAACTGCCCACCCCATTATTCAGTGAAATAACAACTGCAACACAAATAGGATACGGGCACTACCACCTGCCCCAAGGGAGGCTGTCAAATCTTTGAGAGGAAATGTTAATGAAGAAGCTGGAGATACTTCATGTATCATGTGTCCAGTTCTGGCACAATTCTGTCTGCAAAACATCTGCTATTCATGATACAGAAGGAAAAAAAAAAATCTATACCGACTTGTAAATTTCAGGTTGTGTTCACATGCCTAATAGTGAGGAAATTGTATTGGAAAGAATGTAGGTGGTGATCTGCACCCACTTACTATAAGAGAAGATCACTGAGATTCCGTATTGTCATTTGAATACTCTCCATCCTATATATGCTGTATGCCCATTTGAAATAAATGGCTTCCAGAAGTGAAAATACATCCACCCCCCCTTTTTTTTTTCTTTTAAGATGGGGATACTGAATACTTTATGTAATTTGAAAAACAGAAATACAGAACACTAACATATCTTACACATGCATTTTATCAAATACTCCATGCTGAGGAAGAAAACAGAGAAGAAGTCGTCACGAATTGTATTAATCTCTACAGATATTGAATTACCATGCTTTGCATCAAAGTTTGCTGGAAAAAAAACAAAGAACAATTTGAAATCATTAATATTGAAAAGTCAGTCTTACCTTTTTTATAATCGGTACATACATTTAAATCAATTTCCACTGAACATTTTACTTACCATTTCCACGCCATACTTCAGCCAGATGGCAGCTTCCTTCTCCAGGCTCTTTGCAGAACTCTACTACATCGCGACAGGTTGTTTCTGGTGTAATTGGAACTTCTGTCAAAATCTGTTCATTGTTGCTCAGAAACACAGTTAGTATCATCTGAAAGAAAATAAGAAAAGCAGCAGAATATTAAAAAAAATGACAAGATTATGGATAAGATTTATAATCCCCCTGTAAATGGAAATGTATGCTTATGGTTGGTTACCACGATCCATCAAAGTAGTTTCCAGTTTCTTGTAACTTTGCCAAAGCTTTAGTCCTTTGTGTTGATTTTTTTTTGACGGTGCATTGAATTGACAATTTTTTTAAAAGCTTCAGTTGAAATGGTTTAGTTCTGTCTGAAAATAAGGCTGGGAGGGAAGGCACAAGTTTTGGCTATGTTAGATGCTTGAAATCATAGCATTTAAATGTTGCAAATAAATACATACTTTGGCAACGTAACCTGAAGCTTCACAGGTGGGCAACCCTTTGCATGATGGACATAATTTTTGCAATTTGTCTGAAGATACAGTTATATTTGGTTGAATTGTAAGCCTTTGGTTAAACGGTAAGCCTCAGAGTTAATATAAAGAAAAAAAGAAACGAAAGGAAAGGGAGGGGGGGGGGGGGGAGAGGAAGTCAAATTTTTCAAGGGATTGCATTTGCTTAGTATACTTGCTAGAGCTAAAAACCTCTGAAAAGTCAGTTCTTTCTGTACTACTTTAGCCCCACACCCCGAGCTGACTGTGTTGATCAGACTGTACATGCAACCTTCCCACAGCAGTACTAAGCATGCTCTCTTCACTCAAAGTTACAACATCGAAAGACTACTTTTCCTCTAGCAACTGCTCCCAGCTATTCCAGTTGGAAAGTAGCCACAAAACAGAAAATATCTTTTCTTCCCCTCCCCCCCTTGACAACATTCAAGATGACCTGACATCAAGGAAAACAGAAAGAAGAAAAAGTGGGATGAAATCTATAAAGGAAAAAGCCTAGCACTAAAAGCTAGTACTAATTTGGGTTGATGTAAACTTCTGTTCAGATTCCTTGCTCCACCTTAAATAAATGTGTGCACAAATATATATATCCAGAGATACTCCCATCCCTCTTCATGTTAGCAGGTGTAACTTGCTGCAAAGTTAAACACTCGAAAACTGGGCGCATTAACTTAACCCACCTCACCCCCTTGGTGCATATGTGTTATGATATGATTATTAATAATATGTTCATTTGCTACATTCTCCCTATTAAGGGCCTTCGCCTTATGCAGTATTCTCAATGGATTTGTTCTGTAGGCCCTCATGTAATTTACTGCAAAAGCTGGAAGCATATCGTTAACAGCTCAGGAGCTTGTAAGAAGGGAAAAGGTAAAAAACATTCTACCAAGAAACAAAGTCCTAATACAATGATGCTAAACTGATTCATTTTTTCCCGAGTGAGATTGGTTGAGGACCAATATTCAAAAGACAAGTATTCCTATGTTAAACTAAATCCTCCGAAAGATACCTGACCCTAACCTCCTGCTTAAAATTAAACAGATATTTTTAACCATTCTCTCTCTCTGCACCTTAGTTTCCCACCTGTATTCACAATACTGTTCTGTAAACTCATGGGGATGGAACAGAGCTAACGTAAGACAAAGATACCATAATAATAGATGTCCCTAAAGAATGTGACAAAATTAGTAATTTTGTCTGCAAAGAAAGTTCTTTCAGATCTTTCCAGTAAATAAAATGTGGCATCACATACTGAACCACAAAGATTAAACCTAATTATTTAAAAGCTCTTCATTAAATGAGCACTCTCCACTTAAACAGAGTTGTGCTTCATTTTGCATAGGCAATTCTTAAAAACATTCATAACACTTTTATCTGTGGGACATATACATGTACCAAACTGGAGATTTGCATTAATAACAGCTAGATACTGAGTGAGAGCAGTCTATCTACTTTAAAAGTAGGCACAGGACAAATTCCAAGAAAGCCCAGGCTTCAAGCTCTCAGTCTCCTCATCAGTCCTCCACGCTATTTTAGTCCATGTTTCTGCTCTCCCTCAGCCTGCCAAATTTGTACGCTGTATCCTGAAGTTTACAAGTAACTACACTTCAACACAAGCAGCAGTCATCCAGGGCTGTAAATATACTAGAATTCACCCTTGAGTTTCTCCAACAGCAGCATTAAAGGAAGCTATAGTAAAAGCTATAGCACAAGCTAGGAGGAAGCTATAGGATGCAGCCACAGATAATAATGAAAATGCATGTAACCACCTACTGTAAGCAGCCCACAATGTTATTATTCCCCCGCAGAAGATTCAGACATGGTCTCAATATTCAGTGGCTATGGAATCTTTTACAGAATAAACATCTGATGTGGAATCTTGTAATGAAATTTGACCTCATATTTAAGAAGAAAGAATCATATATGAACATTGAACAATAGGCTTAGAAGAAACCTTAAGAGGTCATCTAATGCAGTCTCTTGGCCTACAGCAGGATCAACTATACCTACATTATTCTGCAGAGATGCTTGTTTAACCTGTTCTGAAAAGCCTTTCATGATGGAAGTTCCACCACTTCCCTCAACCATCCATGCCAGAAATCCTATTGCAAGGAGAAGTTTCTTACAGTCTAGTCAAAGCTTTCCTTGCCACTATTTAAACCCACTAGTTCTTCTCCTAGCCACAGGGGTGATAGAAAACCACTTTATTTTTTTCCTCCTTTTTTTTTTCCCTCTGCAGTTAAGTTTAAGGAATATATAATAAGAAAGTAAATTAAGTAATTAAATTAAACACATTTGTCAGAGAATTATTAATGCCAGTATTCTAAATAGTTTCCCCATAACACTTGATAGTAATTTCAAAATAAAACCCAAGTTTCCCAAACTTTATGAGAATGCCAAGAGACCCTTTATGATATGATACATATTGCCTCTTTATCATTTGTCTGAAATACCTGTCATCTTGTTATGAAAGGATAAATAGAATGGCTTAACATCATGTGGTTTTACATGGTTTCCAAGTTTCGATTTTTTATTGCTGTAAAGATAACACTGGCCCAGAAAACTTGTTTCATATATTCAAGATTGTCTGCAGATGCAGACAGGCTGAAAAAGAAAGAAAAGCCTTGGAGGTGTGAGTTATCCCATACATCTCAGTCAATTCTCCATAAATTCAGACCTCAACCACTATATAAACTCACAGTCCCCTTTGCAAGACCAGGCCAAAATTTGCTGTACCTCAAGCACACCACTTTCTTCTCTCAGCTCCGACTGCACCAGTACTGTCTTCTCCAAAGCTGGGTATCATCTGCTACACAGCCTAGGGAAAGGTATCTCGCTAATGAGGAGGCAAGGTGCTGTAGCCAACTATTGTCATACTACTCCTCAAGCAAACTTGGTTACGTAAGGATTTATTTTTAACAGGTTTTCTGAGTAACAACAAAGGAACTGTTTCACTGTGCTGTGAATCAGATGTCCTGAAACATACACAGGAAAACTCAAAATATTGAACATTATTAATATATTGCAATATTAATTAGATTTTCAAGTCAATGTCATAGCTGTCCTTTTTTGTGGTGAAGATGGAATAATAATCAGAGGTACTTCATAGTGATAAAATACAAAGAAGCACTGATGGAGCCTGGAAATTTGCTGAAGAATACGAGTGAAGCATATACATGAAATACATAGTACACCCACTGAAGTAAATTAGCTTTATGAAAAAACATTCTTAGCCAAAGATTAGGACACAGGAGAACTGATAAATCCTTTGATTTCTCATTTTAAGTGGATTCCTAAATAGGAACAACTGTAAAAACCCATCTTGTAAAAGGAGATCATAACCATTGTAGCATTTCTTTGATAATCTCTCAGTTCGATCATTCAAAGCTTTTAATACTTGGGCACAACGTCACACAACAGGATCAACCCAACACTCATGAGCAAGTCACCTCAGGGCTTCTAAATCATGTATTTTTTTCCACAATGAATACGAAGCTCCAAATCTTACACTTCCCTCCTTCTCCTCAACGCACACATGGATGTTACCCGTCTGTTACTCTCCTCTATTGCTCCTGCTACCAAACCAATGGCTTTATTCCAACTTTCATGAATTCTCATCTCTTTTTACTCTTCTTTTTAACCTCCTCCCAAACTCTAGTATATCCCTTCACAGTTCAGGTCTTTTCCACGCCAGATAACCTAAAACAAACATCACAACCTGCCTTCAAAACTATTCTGTTATCTCACTCATTCCTCAGCTTACAGATTACCTCCTCCTAGGAGAGCTTCAGAATCAGCACTCTACCCAAATCTTCTTTGCCCAACAGATGCTTGTCAAATAGTTGTACGTGTTCCTCTTAGTATGTTGCCTCCCCTTTCTCTGTGCCCATCCTAATTCTCTTCCAACCATACCTCCTGTGTTATTTAAAGGACACACTTAATCATCCCTGCAGTTTCTCAAGGAGGTAGAAGAGAGGGATAAATCCACAAGATCTTTATCCTCGCTTACTATCTCATCTCTTTCTACAGCTGGATAATGTCACCTACAAAAATTTCAATAGGCATCGTCCATAGAGATGACACAGTTTTATCTTTCTAGACCTGATCTCTTGCTAAGGAAGCTGAAATGTTGACAATCTTTAATCATCTCTTGTGAGTGTCTAGCTGTCAACTCAAGTTCCATATGGCTGTTACACAGTCCTTAGCCACTTTTCTCCAATGACTCCCTAGATTTTGTATTCATCATAACACACAGGTACTTATCACTATGAGCTGTGTAATACAGGCATCTTTGACACCAATCATTTTCTCAGTCTTGTGTCTCAGATGTATCTCTAGTTTTCCTGTACAATATGTAAGACATAGATAGTTTTTTTTCTATCAACTGGTCTAGCTAATGCTCTCAGAGTTTGGAAACTTGCCTAATGGTTTCCCAACTTTTCACTGGTGTGCCTTTTTTACTCATGATGCCTATCACAGCAGAAATCATTCTTCATGCCTATGGCTTTGACCATATTGTCTTTCTGTATCAGTCCTGATAATCACAATTTATTGGTCTTCACTTCCGTATTGTGACGTGGAATCTTCTTCCCTATCATTTTTCACTCCGTATCAAGAAATTGA